TCATAAACTATAACCCATAATTTATGGGCATTCTTATTCGATTCGACCCATGAGCACATAATTCCCCAAAGATTAGAATTCACGATTTACTGAGCTATAACTCACAATTTTCAACCATTTTTAGGTATTTCGACACGTCGTCAAATAATTTCGTCGATGTCAAAATTCACGATTTCATGGACTATGTTGGCAAATAATTTCACTGATACTAAAATTCAAGATTTGGTGAGCTTTAACCCATGATTTTTTGCTATTTTTAGTCGTTTTGACTTATTGACAAATAATCAGGACAGCCAAAATTCACGATTCCATGAGCTATAACCTATAATTTTTTATCATTTTTAGTCTTTTCGACCCTTTAACAAATAATTTCACTGAGGCCAAAATTCAAGATGTGGTGAAATTTAACCCACGATTTTTTGCCATTTTTAGTCGTTTCAACTCATTAACAAATAAATTCACGAAGGCCAAAATTTATGATTTCATGAACTATAACCCCACGATTTTTGGCTATTTGTAGTCGTTTTAACCCGTTGCCAAATAATTTCGCAATGGCCAAAATTCACGCTAAATAATGTAGCATTGGCCAAATTTCACAATTCTGTGAGCTACAATCCAAGCTATTTGGCCATTTTTAGTCATTTCAACCCATTGTCAAATAATTTCGCGTTGGTCGAAATTCATAATTTCGTAAGCTTTAACCCATGATTTTTCATCATTTTTAGTTGTTTCGACTCATTAGATAATAAATCTACGAAGGCTAAAATTTTATTATTTCACGAGTTATGACCCATGATTGTTGAATAATTTTAATCGTTACGGGACTATTAGAAATAATTTTGTGAAGTCCAAACTTCACGATTTCATGATCTGTAATACACTATTTTTGGCCATTTTTAATCGTCTCGACCCCTTGCCAAGTAATTTCACTGAGGCCAAGATTCACAATTTATGAGTTAAAACCCATGATTTTTGACCACTTTTGTTCGTTTAGACCCATTAACAAATAATTTTGTAGAGTTCAAAATTTAGGATTTCCCAAGTTATAACCCATGATTTTTGGTAAATTTTAGTCAATTCCACTCATTACCAAATAATTTTGTGAAGGACAATTTACAAGATTTCATGAGCTATAACCCTTATTTTTTTACCATTTTTATTCGTTTAGACCCATTGACAAGTGACATCGCAAGGTTCAAATTTCACGATTTCATGAGCTATATAAACCGACATTTTTTTGCCATTTTTAATCATTTCTCATTAGCAAATAATTTCTCGGAGGTCAAAACTCAAGTATTCATGAAGTATAACCTATAATTTTTGTCCATTTTCGTTTGTTTCGATCCATTGGCAAATAATTTTGAGCCCAAATTTCACGATTTCCTAAGGTATCTCATGATTGTTTGCCAATTTTAGTTATTTCGACCCATTAGCAAAAAAATTTGTAGATGACAAAGTTCATGAATTCATAAGTTGTAACCCTAACTTTTTACCATTTTTATTCACTTCAACCCATTAGCAAATAATTTTTGTAATTTTTGTTTGTTTCGGCCTAATAGAAATTAAATACGTATCCATTTAAAATTTTATTTTTGTGGGTTATTACCTACATTTTTTTCAAATCTTGTTCATTTTGACCAAATGGCAATTAAGCATGCATAATTCAAAATCTTGATTTTCATGCACTATATAACCTATGATGACAATTAAATACGCCTCATAGCAAATAATTTTCACGCATAATTGAAAATTTTGTTCATTTTTACAATTTTCATGGACCCATTAAATTTTGTTCATTTCCACCAAATGACAATTAAATATACAAAGTTTGAAATTCATGATTTTAATGGGGCTATAAAGCATGCCCTTTACAAGTTTTTCATACCGACCAAATGGGCATTATGTATACATTAAAATTTGCGATTTTATGGGTTATATAACCCACGAATTTTGCATTTTTTTGTTTCGTTCGAATGGAAATTAACGATGTGTACACCAAAATATGTGATTTTTATGGAATATAACACATAATTTTCGTCAAACTTCATTCATTTCGACCAATTGGCAATTAAACACACTTAGTTGAAAGTTCATGATTTTCATGGGCTAACCCATGATTCTTATCAAATTTTGTTCTTTTAGACAAAATGACAATTAAGTAACCCATAGTGCAAAATTCATGATTTTCAAAACCTATAACCCATGATTTTTTTTAATTATTGTTTACTTAAATCAAATAGAAATTAAGTATATGTAAAATAAAATTTAAGATTTTCATGGGCTATAAACCCCGATCTTTGTCAAATTTCGTTCCAAATGACAATTAAGTATAGTTTAAAATTCATGAGTTTCCTAAGCATCCATGAATTTTTGCAATTTTTTTATTTCAACCAAATGAAAATTGAACATTGTCTATACCAAAATTTGTGATTTTCATGGGCTATATAACCCAAGATTTTTGTTAAAGTTCATTAATTTCTACCAAATGGCAATTACCATGCATTACTCATAGTTCAGAATTCATGATATTCATTAGTCACGATCCACAATTCTTGTCAAATTTCGTTCATTTCGACAAAATGGCAATTAAGTACTCATAGTACAAAATTCATGATCCATCATTTGTACAATAAATTTGCGAAATCTATGGACTATAACTCATGATTTTTGTCAAATTTCGTTCATTCCAACCAAATGGCATTCAAGTATAGTTCAAAATCCATTATTTTCATGGGTTATAACCTAAGAATTTTGTAAATTTTGTTCGTTTCAACCAAATGAAAATCAAGTATTATATACATCAAATTTTGTGATTTTCATGGACAACAACCCCCCACTATTTTGGTCAAATTTTGTTCATTTTTACCAAATGGCAATTAAGTAAGCATAATTCAAAATACATGATTTTCATGCGCACCCACGATTTTTGCAATTTGTGCTCATTTTCACCAAATGGAAGTTTAAGTACGAGTACACAAAAAATTGCAATATTGTAAATAAAAATTTGCAATTCGAACAAATTAGAATTATGCGTGTGGTTCAAAATTCAGACTTTCATGGGCTACAACCCACAAGTTATACAATTTGTGCTCGTTTCTACCTAATTGAAATTAAACACAAGCGCATAAAAATTTTACGCTATTAGTCAATTTTCGTTCATTTTGACCAAATGACAATTAAGTACATGTAGTTCAAAGTTCATGAATTTCATGACTTATAACCCACAATTTTTGCATTTTTTATTCATTTCGACCAAATAGACATTGCTTATTTAGTACATCAAAATTATGCTATCTAAAGGGTTCCTATCACCTACTAGATTATTAACTCCTTCATTTGAATTTCAATTTCTCTTCAAAATCAAAGTTAACTAGATGTCATTATCAACCCCCCTCATCTCGATCGTGTGATTTACGGAACATAGGACTTGAGCTCTATTAGCATAACTTCCTAGAAAAATAAAGGTGATGGGTCCCTTCATCGTTTGTTCAAGCTTGACATTGAGAAGAACCATATCCTCTTTCTCAATCAACAAAAATGCCAATATGTCGAAATAAACAAAAATGGACAAAATTTCATGAATTATAGCACATGACAATCACAAATTTTAAAGTACACACAACTAATTCCTATTAGGTCAAAATGTATGAAAGTAAACAAAAATAATAAGTTATAACCCACAAAAATCAGATATTTTAAAGTACGCCGACATCAATGATATTCGATCCAAGAAAACAAAAATTGACAAAATTTGTTGGTTATTACCAATGAAAATTGTGAATTTTGCATACTTAATGGCCATTGGGTCAAAATGAATGAAAATTGATTTAAATTTGTGGGTTATCCCATTGTGCAAATTTAATTATCCTTGGATCAAAACAAAAAAAATCGACAAAAAGCATGGGCTATAGCCCTTAGAATTTGGGAATTTTTAAAGTAGCAATATTAATGGCTATAGTGTAGAAACAAACAATGCAATAGGTCATATGAATGAAAATCACGAAGTTTGAAGTATGAATAATTAATTCCTAGAGTCAAAACATATAAAAATGGAAAAAATCATGAGTTATAGCCCTATAAAATCACAAATTTTAAAGTATGCAAAATTAACTGTTATTGGGTTGTCATGATCAAGACTGGACAAAAATCGTGGGTTATAGCCCATGAAAATCCAAATTTATGAAGTACACAAAATTGGTTTTCATTTGGTTAAAGTGTACGAAAATTGATAAAAAATCATGGATTATATAGCTCGTGAAATTGTCATTGCGTACAATATAAACGGAAATAGACAAAAATCGTGGGTTATAGTCCTTGAAATCACAAAATTTTTACGTATGCAAAATTAATTGTCATTGGCTCGAAATGAACCAAAATGACAAAGTCAATGATTATAGCTCATGAAAATCGCGAATTTTGTAGTACGATAATTAATTCCAATTCGGCTAAAACATTGGCAAATAGATAAAAATCGTGGGTTAGCCCATAAAAATCATGAATATTGAATTACACCAAATTAATTGTCAATATGTCAAAATGAACAAGAATGGACAAAAATCATAATTAGAATCATGAATTTTGAAGTACGCATAATTAAACCGAGAAACATACGAAAATGGACCAAAACGTGAATTACAACTCATGATATCTCTACTGGGTCGAAATGAATGAAAATTGACAAAATCTATCGGTTATAGTCATTGCAAGTTTTGAGGTCAAAAGACATTTTCGTGGAAGGATGTGATATTGAGAAATAGGATACAAACCAGATTCACTTGGGACAACGCCATTGCTGTCAAGGTATCATCAACTTAAATCTGTGAAGGTATCATCAACTTAAATGAAACTAGTCTGAGTTTTCTTTGACGATGCATATACCAGCAAACAAGAGATAGCTAATGTCTGAATGAAAACTATGAATCGTAGTTGCACTAATGAGACTTCATATGTGAATCATCAATTGGTATAAACAACTAACCACTATAAAAATATAGATTTACCTATGAATGCTTGCTTGACCATTAGTGAAATCTGAAGTAGCCTGCCACAAGGTATGCTTCCGAGGCTGTGGATTAGTTTCTCTGAAGAAAAGAGGCTGCCTTGCCAACTGAATAAAAACAATAATTAAAGCATGTCATAGACACAAGAATGAAAAGGAAAGGGGGAATAGTGAGAAGCTTGGTTCACATTCCATGCGTTAACAGCAACATTACCACAATATCCAAGGTCCCAGGAGCATTCTCAGAGCAATTTGCCTTCAGAGCAATAATATCTGACCACTGAATCTCAATTTTGCTCTTAAGCCCACCATCAAGAACCTCCCAAACGAGCTTATGTTTTGCATAATAGCACTTTGCGACTAAATCACCTTCATATGTCGATACGTACTGTTTATTATAAAATTCACTTGTCAATTAGCTGATCAGATTACAGAATTTAAGGATAAAAGACTGTTTCTCACTAAGCTACGCGGTAATTCTCCATCATTGAGCAAAGAACTGTCCTATTCCTCAACTACCTATTGAAAGCACAAGCAGTCATTGAAGATAGAACATGCAGTTGGTCAGTGTTCAAAAGAAAGTTAGAAGACCTTATGGAAGAAAGTAAACTAGACTGTACACTATGAACCTCTTGATGGAACTACAAAAAATCAGTAATCTAGCGATGGCACTGTCAAACATGATCTTCTGAACTAAACTATGGCTGTAAACGTGAATCAACATCCAAAGAGTGTTAAATACTCTTAACAAACTGTTAGCATAAAAATGTAAAAATGGTAGAATTGCAACAAAAAGGAAATAAAAAAAGTTGCATTTACCTCCCAAGAACCAATCCTCAAAAAAGAAGCAGGAAAGTTTGAAGCCTTTAACTTGTCAGTGGTACCTAACACGGCGGTAGACTTCAGATCCTTCTTTTTCTCGCCATCAAAACCCCCACTGCTTGTGGCATACGAAGCAGTAGCGGAACTTCCTTGAGAAAGTTTCATCTGGATCAAATCCAATAAAGATGGACTCTTTCTCAAGCGAAGACCAAGTGGGCTAGGTTCATCAAGCAAACTGCATTGTGCAGATTGTGGAGGTACTCTTCCAGCATCTGGATCCCACTGTCATGGAAATATAAGATTTGAGTATAAAACAAATGATGGGTTACAAATGATTAAATAGCTTGGCAAACCTAATAATCATTCATGCTCTCATCACTAAGTACCACCTTATCCACTGAGGATAGGAGAACCATAGAACATACCAAGCACAGAAGTATGGTTATGCAAGATAACACTAATAAACATAAATTTTACTTAAAAAGATTCCATGCCAAGCAAGTTCCTTCTTTAATATAAAACCTCTATACATTTACATAAGCAATGCTCTTGTTGACATGAATAGGAGTATGAAATAGTACTATATAGTAAAAGAACCTTCAGAGGCCTCAACGCGAACAAAATGTCCTTAAAATGACAAGAACTATAAATAGTTACCAAAGTGAACCAAAACAGCTAGATGTAAAAAAAAAAGAAAAAAAAAGCCTTTCAAGTAGTCAATCACCAAAGGGCTCTCAATATGTGAAAAATAAAATAAAGAAATATTTTTTGAGGTAAATGTGGGCAAAATTATTAAATGATCTCCAAGCTAGAGCTCTGAAGTCGAATAAAAAATCGAGATTTATAAAAAAAATCCAATTCAAAATACAAGGCATGTTGAATTGAACTGGATGTCTTCATAGGCTTCTCCAAAAATATCTAGAAAAAAAAAACTACATAAGAAAAGAATCATTTTTTGTCCCTATCTATCCACTCTGCAGTCACGATCTTTTAATCAAATAGTTATTTCAAACCCCAAAATTAAACCCCGAGAATCCTAAAAAGCTAATCCTGATCCATATAAAACAAAGTTAATTGAAAAAGAGAAAAGACCTGAGCTTTTATCTTCTTGCTAAGAGGACCATGCTCTTCTTCCAAAGGATCCTCAACCTCCGACTTCACCGTCGGAATCTCCGCCGCCGCTGATTTCGCCGCCGCCGGCTCCTTGCGCTTCAGAAGCTTTCCGAGATTCGGCAATTGAACCATCGATTCCTCTCAAGGATTCACCAAAACCCTCGATTTCACCGAAATACGACAGAATCGGAGAAACCCTAACCCTTATTTGAGGAAATAGGACGAATTGGATCCGAGGAGGGAGGAATCTACGAAGTGTTTGTGAGTTTCGAATGGAATATTTTAAATTTTTAAATTAAAAAAAGGGTATTGGAAATTTTATAGAGTACATAAAAAGTGGAGGGTAGGAATGTAAATTTGCTAACAGTCCGTGCACCTGCGTTCCGCGTACGCTTGCCGCTAAGTTGTCGAGCACGTGCGATTATTTAAGGCGGCGTTCGTGAATTACTGTGATAGCCTTGTTGTGACCGCTCTCAACATAATTACCTAACGTCATAGGTGAAAAGATAATTACACTAATAGTCTTATGCATCTCAATTGATAAATGTTTTAATTTTAGTTTGTAAAGTTATTGATTTGATGAGTTTTCTCTTCAGTTTGAGTTTCTTTGAGATATGATGTGAGTTAAATGTTTCTTTGAGATACGTGTCAAGGCTAAACCACACTAAACAACACCAAACGGGGTTGACTCAGTTCAATATAGATTTGAATCTAGCTTGGTTTTCAATTCGGGTTAACAACAAATAGTCAAAACTAACTGAACCGACCATTTGCTCACCCCCTAAGGGAGATTACTTAAACACTCTACTGTTGATTATCATACTAATACTCTATTGCACGTGATGCCCACCCTTGTGCGTAATAAATAAAAGTTTAATACCTTATTTATTAATATTAATACGTTTATTAAAAATAGTTCCACAAAATAATATAAATGTATTTTTTTAAAAAAATTAAGCAGGACAGTTATGAAGTAGTGAATGACATGTTAGTTATGAGATAGTGAGGTTATCTATAAAGAATATTATTATTAATCTTTTTTTTCAAAGTTATCATTTAATTATTTGTAAAATATTAGAAATTCTGTGTATAATTTTGAAATATATTTGAACTTCCTATAGAAGGTAATTTATATAGGGGCACAACACCAAAAAATAAAAAAAGACTTCTTTTAGATGAGATAATGAAGTTAACATGGTTTGATGAATTTCTTACATTGGGTTATACCAATTTCTTATTGTTTGGTAGATAATTGTGATCAACTTGGATTACATAAATTTCTTATGATTGTTGGATACGTGAATATGATCAACTTGTGTAGCAATTCACTTTTATAAAAAAAAAAAAAAGGATATCAAACGCATGCTGTTGCGAGAAGCAATTAAAAAATAAATTTTTAATCTTAACAATAATGGTTAGTTTTTAATCTGGATTGGCCTTTACAAAGCAGAGAATGGTATAGTTTTCAAAATTACAGAGGCTGGCTGTTGTCGCCGCTCCAAAGTTTTTATTGCTTATGCGAAATTTTCGATATTAGGCATAGCAAAGATAATTTTTGCAGTCAAATTATTACTTTTTTTCTTATTATATCAGTCTACATTCTTCCAGATTTTCTTTTCCCCTAAATTTTGTTGCGATACAAGTCTGATTTGATTATCACAGTGTCATCTTGGTCAGATGGTAACGTTACGCAAGATTAAAGTATAATAAAGTACGGACTCTTAATTGAAGTATAATAAAGTACGCAAGATGAAAGTATAATAAAGTACGGACTCTTAAATTGAAGTATGATAAAGTACGCAAGTTGAACAGATGTGTATGGACTTTTAAATTGAAGTGTAGTAGCCTTGAACATCGTGTAAAGTACGACATATCATTTTTTTTGTTACTATAGGAATTCCGATTTTTTGAATTACTACAGTAATATTTTTTAAATTTTTGTTTGCTACAGTTCCGCTTCTGCTACATATTTTTAAAAATACTACAGTATTTCCTGTGCTGTCACAGTGACATTTTTTTCAAAAATTACCATCGTATCCAGTTTCCTATTTACTACAGTAATAATGCTATAATAATACTACAAGTATTACTATAGTATTATTGTAGTATGAATAGTAAATCTTGGGTTCTCCCCGTTTGTATAGAGGAGTAGATAATAAAGTATGGACTCTTGGATTAAAGTATAATAAAGTACTAACTTATTGATTTAAATAATCACTAGTTTTAGGCCCGTGTGATGCACGGATTTGTTTAATATACAAAAATTAAAGTAGCAAAAGAATGCAAAATAAAATAATAATAATATATAAGTAGTCAGAAATGATACAACCTAAGCTGCATATATATTTGACTTACTATTAAACTGTAAAAAAGAATCAAAATATAATTTCCCTATTATCATAACAAAATAGATAAAATATCTCATGTCTATATGATTAATGTTATATTATTTTGCTATACCAAGTAATTAGTATGCATCATAAAGTTTAGTTCCAAACAAAATATTTAAAGCACATAGAGATACCTGTCAAGATAATTAGTATGCATCATAAAGTTTAGTTCCAAACAAAATATTTAAAGCACATAGAGATACCTGTCAAGAATATATATCTATGAATCAAAACTTCCAATTATCAATATATTGATAAACAAAATATCTATCATAATTATATCAAATAGTTAGGTTTCTCAACGCAAAACCATCAAAAAAATATGTAGCGCATACAAAAGTTTACTAGATAAAGTTTACTAATTATTTAAGCTCAACACGGGGAGTTCCCTGGTCGCTTGGAAAAGGAACAGTTCGGTCAAAATACGGCAAGTCGACTAGTCAAATAGGGTATGTCGACACGTGCGGATGGTCCGGTGCATGAACCCAGTTAGCCTCGTGCGAGCCAGCTGGCAGCACGTGTCGCGAGATGGAGGGTCGACAAGGCGCATGCTATCGCACGTGAGTGTCGAATTGGTAGGCTTCATCCACTTTGGATAAAGTCCATCAACCAGACGAAAATACGTATGTATTTTGTGCGAGTGAAAAGGCAGAACCTCGCAATCCCCTGCTAAACACCAAGTATTAAATGTGGGCTTTCGGCTATAATCCTACAGGCTTCGGCCCGTTTCGTTTCTATGCGAGCTTGTGTTTAATACACAGCTTGTGGTCTCTAGGCTTGGGGCGTGTAGGTTTTTCGTCCTCGCTTTATGGGCTATAGCCTTTGGGCTTATAGGCTACAAATACTCATGGAATATGGCTGTAGAATAGCTGGCTTAGTCTAGAGGCATAGGAAATAGGCTTGTAATCGTCGGCATATGGGCTCGTACACTATAAGCTCATGATCATGGCCTTACAGGATGCAGGCTCAAGGGCCGATTTACGAAATTTGTTTCTTATGGGCTTAGGGTCCGTGGGGCATTCTCTGCTCTATTAGACGACGCCCCTACATATCACAAGCCCAAATCATCGCGTGCTTATCTCCTACATGGCGGGAAAAAGAACCAAGTGAAAAAAAATGTCTTTCGAAGATGGAGGAAAGACATTAGAAAAGAAAATAAGCGATGGTCAAAATCACATCCCAAATAATCAATATGAGAAGATAGGAACACATAATACAAAAAGCATACATTAATTTCATCAGCGCCTATCGAATTAGATCTCGGACCAAAGCAATAGCAGTCTCATAAAACTACTTACGTTAGCATCCATCATTGAAAAGTTTTCAAGATCCTGAAAGAATAGTTATAGTCAAGCACCATTCATCCATCAAACTTGCAATCAATGGAAACTACTCTGCTTCAAGTTGAAAACAAGACAAATCCCATCTTGATCGGCTATCGGAAATGGAACATCGCGCACTTCATCTGTCACGGTTATGAGATTCTTAATTTCGGCATCAGGTTCCTTCGGCTGATGCCACGGTCATTAACTACAAGCAGAAATGTAAACAATAAGAAGGGGGGGAAATGATACTTCTAGCATATAAAACAGTACAAAGTCAAGACCACTTAGTTCTGAACCTAGGCTAAATTATGAAGATACGTCCACCATACCCCCAAAAATAAATGGAAGAAAAAATGTGCGTATTATAAAAACTCGGAAAAAGTGAAGAGGAACATTCACATTTTAGAGATTTTGTGTTGAATACAAGCTGATGCGTAATGCCACTAGAGATGGGTGAGAGATGATGATCCAAATAGCCTAGGTAGCCACCACTTGGTAATATTTTCCGGAAGATTAAACGGATAAGAAACAGTAGAACATGAATGTAAATGATCGCATGTTGTGAATGGAGTAGTTAACAAGTTTCACTATATATAAACCTATGATAAGGGACGACGTAATTTGTAAAATTGAGCTAAGATAGGCAGGAAATTTCTAACTGAACTATAGAAAATATTAGGCAGAGGGTGCTGAGCCTCGCACACATCATAAGCAATTAAACAGCTCGAGGAAACAGCTAATTAACCTTCATGGCTTTTGCACGTCATATGAGGATATAGGATATACCAGTCAATCTTCATCCCCCACATGTTCCAACAAATAGTTTGCTGCCAACTCTTCGTTCCTGTCACATGCTAGGAACGCCACAATTACCCTCGCTCGATCAAATCCCATTGCTTCAAGCTGAAGAAACATGCTACTATTATCAGTGAATGAGAAAGGAAGTTGCTTCAAGACAAAGAAATAAAGAGCGGAAAAAGAAACACACTCGTCCGATAGCTTCCTGTTCTGCAGGTGTGACACGGACTTCGTGAGGCATCTCCTGCTCAGGCTGATCAAAGAGATCCCTGAAAAACATCAGAAAAATAGGGGAAACACAAAAATGGTAAATAGTGATGGCAATGACAAATGATCTCAAGAACATTAAAGAATATAGAATGCTACAAGACATTATGTCTTCTCCATAAAGAGCTATAGGAACTTTATCAAGCATCTAACAGATTAATTTCATTTGTAATAATTTTGATGAACTAGAAAGCTAACAGTGATGAAATTATGAGTAACTACCTATACAGACATAGAAAGTACAAGATATATGGGAACAGACTGATAAAAGCAGCACATTATATCATGACAGATCAACTAAAATATCATGTAATGCTCACGTTTTTTAGCTTAAATTTTGAAGTGTGTATGATTACTTGCACTTGAGATGAAACTAACAAAAATTGCCAAAATTGTAGGTTAACCCCATCAAAATCTATAACTTTTAAGAAGTCATAATTAATAGCCTTTGGATCGAATGAATGGTAATAGGAAAATTTCGTGAATTA